ACACAAGCCTAGAGTGCCCTCTAGCGGCTGCTAGTGTGAAAATAACAAACCTAAAATTATATATTTTAATATATGAGTCCAGGCTAAGGTTGAAAAAAAAGTGTGACTTATACTCCAGGAAAATATAATTTTCATTATGCATTATTTCTGATGCAGGTTGAGTTCAGTGATGAGAGCGACTCTGAGGCTGCTGAAACCAAAGACATCCCTCAAAAAAGGCCGGCTACGAGAAGAACGGCGAAGGTTGCTAGTGCGGTCCCAGATTTACCCGCTGAGAAACAACTGCCCAAGAGACAGACCAAGGGCAAAAAAAGCACCGCAGTGGCTCCGTCCACGTCCTCGGAGGACGACGCCTGTCAGCCGGTCTCCACGAGGAGAGGAAGGAGCAGGAAGGAGGCGCCCCAGAAAGACATGGAGACGTTAGAAGAACCGGACAAAATGAGGGCCATCGAGGAGGAGGAGGAGTCAAAGGGCGTTCTCGACATCACCATCGAAGAGCTCAGAACGTCAGATAACGACTTTGATGACAGCCCTGCCTCAAGTAATTACAATCGTTTTAATTGGGCCGTCAAACAGTCACGATGTTTAAATGTAAAAATTATTAATTGTGCAAACGATTAATTATGATTAATGGAGATAAATCAACATTCTTTAATATGACAACTTATTTTTTTGGAACAGAAAACAAAAAATGTTTTTTAAACATTAAACCTCAAACTTCATCTGTTTTTGTGGATTTAGATCAACCTCTGACTTCATCTGTTTTTGTGGATTTAGATCTGGAAATATTGCGTCGAGATGTGTGTGGCCTGGATAAAGATGGCTTTACTGAGCTGAAGACCAAAGGTCATGTGACTGAAGGTCCACATACCCAACTTTCTGATTTGGACACCAGAACAGGTCAGTGTCTGTACAGGGAGCCTTCATCTTCACTCCACAGTTGCTGTTGTTTTACTGAACGGTCAGAGCAGCTGCTCATCCACTGTGTTCTGTCACTTCCTTCTCCTCAGAACATCTCTCCCTGGAGGAGGTTCAGGTGTTGCTCCGTTCTGCCTGGCTGACCCTGCAGCACTTTCCTAATCCCAACATTTTTCCTACCCTGAGTTCTCTCCTGGCTTTGGCTCTGGGACAGAAGGACCCGGTTGCTACAACGATGCTACACGCTCAGTCGCTGGGCGTCACGAGCCGCCATCGCACCATCAGGCACCTGGCCAACTGTCTCAAGTAAGCAGAGCTAGGACTGGGAGGAAAAGGTTTCTCTTTTATTCATACTTTTTTTTACTGACTATAATATAATGAGTGACTCTTTTCTTGTTCTCTTAGAAAACTGAGGAAGTCCTCCGGTGAACTGTCAGACAAGATGAACGCCCTGAGTCTGAAAGATCTGAGTTCCACTGAGTCTAAGTCTTCAGCTGAACAAAGGCTCACGCTGTTAGAAAACGTCTTCTCCTTCCCCCACGCCGACTCCTCGTCGTTCCCCCAAAGTCACTGCCAAGAGTTTCAGGAGCAGCTTCAACACCTGCCCTCAGGTAACGCTGATTTTATTGTCATGTGTTAAATATCATTACACTGAAACCGGAGTTTATAGATACAGGAGAAATATTTGACGTGAGATTAGTGATTTTTACACAGATTATAAGCTACTTGTTTTTACCAGTTTGACTATGTAGCCTGTATTCTTAGTTATTTTTCATGTTGACAGAAGTAGGAAAAGAACAGAATCTGTGAAGTCGTGTCTGGAGAGCCCTCTGCTGGACTGTGCTACAACCACAGCATACACCCCTTTAACTTGATGACGTTTTTCTGTTGAACAGGAGTAACTGTCTGTATGATGTCTGTGTTTGGACTGAAACCTGGAGAAATGGGCGACAGCATCTTACTGTCACGTCTCGAGAAAGGATCTGACCCAGTTACTGTTCACATCCCCACGTCTAAGATGCAGGTGATGGTTTACTGTGCACTTCACCTTTCCTTACTGATACTGTTACAGTTCAATTTGACAGAAATAAGAGAATAATACTGATGTTGTCTCTGTGCTGTGCAGCGTCCAGTCAGTTGGCTGGTGCAGGAGCTGGACAGTATCCTGGTGCAACAGAAGGCTGTGAGCTGTGTGACTGAAAAGGCCAAGTGGTGGGAGGGACGGAGGACGTTAGACTCTAGAGTTGAGGTAAGTCGTTTGAAAAGGCAGTGCTGGGAACTGTTTTTTTTCCACTGTGTATCATGTTGTTCAAACTATCGTTCAAAAAACCTTTCTGTTGTTGACACTGAACAGCACCTGTTGACGGTAATGGAGGAAATGCTCGGATGCTGGAAGAGTTTTCTTCTGCCGTCGTCTCCAGATCCACAGCTGTCCAGACAGACTCAGCATCTGAGCAGAGGGTTGTCTTCACGAGGACTGACGTGTAGTGAAGAGATGTTAAAGGTTTGAACACGGTCTTATAGACTCGATAACATCATACCATGGTTTGAAGTCACAGACGGTGACCTTGTGACCTTTGTTCCAGGCTGTTCTGTCTGCATTTCCTGCGCTCTCCCAGGAAGACGTGCAGAGATTCAGTCTCGGGGTTTCTCCACACTGGGACGAGGAGTGTGACCAGCTCCTCTGTTCAGCTGTGTCTGGACTGTCCAAGATAGAGCAGCCCCGCGGTCATGTGGTTCTCATCCTGGACAAGGTTGTTAATGGTCAAACACCTCCAGGTGTGGTCAAATCCGTGGTTCTGGTGAACGTTGAGGTGTAAATTCTTCCTGCTCCGTTTTGTTTGCAGTATCTCCAGAGGTTGCCGTGGGAGAGCGTCTCCATTTTGAGGTCTCACTCCGTCAGTCGGATGCCTTCCCTCCACTCACTGATGGGACTGAGCGTTCAGAAGGAGGTCGGATCAGTCACCTATAAATATTAATCTGCTGCAGATTAGAGTTATATCCTTTGTTTACTCGTGGATACTTATACTCCTGACTTTATTATTCTCCTCCAGACTGACTCTCACTCCATCTTGAAGCACGGTGTTGATACCAAAAAAGTATTTTATGTGCTGGACCCTGATGCTAATTTGGGCCACTCTCGGGATCAATTCAAAGAATGGTTTTGCAGGTAAGAATAATGGTCCAACTTTAACACACAGATTTTTTTTAACCCATTAACTGTACATGTATCTTTTTTTTAATCACCACTTGTTTTACAGTAGACCTGACTGGGAGGGTGTGTGTGGTGTGGCTCCTGACTCTCGTCAGCTAGAAGAAGCTGTGGCAACCAAGGATCTCTACATGTGAGTGTAAAGACTTTAAACCTCCTGAAAGATGGGAGTTAAAGGTGTTATTTAATGTGGAAAAAAATCTAGAGTTGTAAAGATTTCCATTCCAGTAAGTGAACAGACGTTTGTACATCATTCAGAATAATATGCTTCAATTCAAAACACATTCAGGACAGTTCCATGTATGTCGTCACGTGGGAAGATGTCAAATATTTTGTCTGATTATTTTACTTTTACGATAGAGAATTGTAACTGATGAGGAAAAAGCTCGTCCGACTGCCTGTGGCCTATTTTGTCTGATTATTTTTACTTTTACAATAGAGAATTGTAACTGATGAGAAAAAGCTCGTCCGACTGCCTGTGGCCTGTCTGTGTTGTTTTCAGTTTAAGTTCATAATCTTTCAACTTTATTCATGCAGTTACGTTGGTCACGGAGCAGGATCTCGGTTCTTGGACAGTCAGATGATCCTGAAGCAGCAGATGAGAGCGGCTTCTCTGCTCTTCGGCTGCAGCAGTGCCGCTCTGGCAGTGCGAGGCAACCAAGAAGGTCAAGGAATCATCCTCAGCTACCTGATAGCAGGCTGGTAAGATATCAATGTGAAGTTGATTTTTAACTACTTTCAATACGAATAACAAAAAACTCCCAACTTGTGTAGAGTTTATTTACTGAGGGTTTTTTTTTCCTTCTTCAGCCCTTTTATTTTAGGAAACCTATGGGACGTGACAGATCGGGACATCGATCGTTTCACCAAAGCCTTGCTGGAGTCGTGGTTATCTGCTGGCTCCGGGGCCTCCCTGCTGCAGTACATGAGCCAGTCACGTCAGGCCACACATCTGAAACACCTGATAGGAGCTGCACCTGTGGTCTACGGCCTCCCTGTCCACCTGCAGTAGACGACCAAGGAAGTGTTTTGTCTTTCAAAATTCATGGCTTTTTTTTTTTGTAATTTTTTTTTAACGTTTTGAACTTGACTGATGCATCATTTTATAGTTCAACAATCTAATGTGTTTTGATTTAATTATTAAATGTATTCTTACACACATTTTATGACTGTTGTGGATATAATATGATGCAGAGTGTAGTAAATTATTTTGGACTTTTAGTCAAATTTGACTGCTTTTAATTTTTAAAGATAAAAATTTAATGGACTGTACTTTTTATCAAACTTAATTGTACAAACATATGTACATTTTACAGGTAAAGTATAGAGTTTAATAAACATTATATATTTCTGACCTCTGAACGTCTCACATTGTCTTCAATCGCTAGTTCATCACTAGTGTTCTGATATATTTTGTGTTTCTGCTACATTGTTATTGCAGGTTTATGACTTTTGTTTTGATAAGGTCACACTACCTTAAATGCACAATCTTTGGTCATGGCAATAAATAGGCAAAATTTAACCCAGTTTACTTCCAGTAAGTTTCCCTGATGTTTGTGATTTAACCTGTTTTGCAAATGTAATTTCATTTAAAATGTTTTGAAAAATGTCTTACATTTGGAACAAATGTAAGACACACTAAACACACATAACACCAACCTTCAAATATGAACCTGTACATTTTCTGTTCCCCAACCTAAACACACATGACACCAACCCTCAAAAATGAACCTGTACATTTTCTGTTCCCCAAATACTCAATAAAGAGCATATTTTATTATTACTATTATTATAAATAATTTGCCAAAAATACATAAATTACCTTTCACTTTCAACGAACGCTATTATTCTTTTATATGGTATATGGGGAAAAAACGAGATATCGTCTCAACCACAAGAGGACGTTATTAAATACTGCTGAATGTCTTTAACCCGGAAGTAGAATCCCACAGCGGTCCTCATCTGGCATCACGCTTCCAACATGGCGGTGAATCTTACAGACCTCTCCCTGCCTCAGTTAGAAGGACTGAAGACCCAGTTAGATCAGGTATTTACAAAATAGTTGTTCCGTCGTAGTATATGTTGTGTTTTTGGACATCGGCTGCACGAGTGTAAAAGCTAATAGAAAATAACAGCAATGTGGTGAGGCTAATTAGCACCTTCCCTGAAGCTAGCATTTAAAACGTCTTTTGAATAACAGTGTGCTCTGCGGTATAGTTCACTGTATTGCTTGCTATTTACGTATGTGTACGTTATCTTAATGACAGTTGTCAGATAGCATTAATTTGTAATTGAAGATATGTGTTACACACTTTATATTTATGACAAAATATGAATTAAAGATGCCCTATTAATTTCCCTAATCACAACAGTAACATCTACAACGCGAGTACAACTGATTTCCCATTTATGGTTTGTTTCGTTATCGATCTGTCGATATAAGCTGTTATGTATTTTTAACCTTTGACTTGACAAATTTATTCAGATCATTTAGATTATGGAGTACAAACCTTAATTTCTTTCATATCATTCATCTTATTTTATGAACAGTAGCTTCCATTTCATGCTTGCATTTTTCTGATTATTTTGTTAGGTTAAGTATTCTTAAGTAATTTTTTTGCCATTTCATGCTTGCATTGTTGTGATTATTTTGTTTACAGGTTAAGTATTCTTAAGTAATTTTTTTCTAATTATAATGTTTTGCAGGAGGTTGAGTTTTTGACATCTTCGATTGGTCAGCTCAAAGTGGCACAGACCAAGTTTGTTGATGCAAAAGATAGTTTGAGCGTATTAAATGTTAAGAATAAAGGTGAGTAAAAAATGTTTTATTAACTCTGTGTCTCTGGACTGTCTTTTTTATTTCAGATTAGATTATTTCTGTTTAATGTTTTTCTCTCTTTTGTGCAGGTAAAGAAGTGTTGGTGCCTCTCACCAGCTCTGTATCCTTTTAGTTTTTAATTTAAAGATAGATAGAGAGATGTACTTTATTGATCCCAGGCTGGGAAAATGCACAATGAACATTTTGTTTATTTTTGTTATACAGTGTATGTTTGTCCTTGACGTGTTTTTTTCTCAGATGTATGTCCCTGGAACATTAAATGATGTGGAACATGTCTTAGTGGATGTTGGGACTGGTTATTATGTTGAAAAGGTAAAACAATTCTTTGGATGTTATCAAATGCTTTCCATCTCTTTGAATGTTGTAGAACAGGTTTTGTAATTTTTTTGTGTGTGTTTGTTTTTCTCTGTCTGTAGAAAGTGAAAGACTCGGAAGCTTTCTTCAAGCGCAAAATTGATTTCCTCACAAAGCAAATAGAGAAAATTCAGCCGGCCCTCCAAGAAAAACATGCAATGAAGCAAGGTAAACCAGATACACTTTTGCAAACATCTGACTAGTTAGGACCTCAAATGATTTGAAACCAAATAACACATATTAGATTCCTGGTCCTCATGAGAAAAATGATATTTTTTTGCTCTTACTATAGTTTTATCTTTTTAGTATTTTAGTACAGTATTTTACATACTGTATATACAACCACCAAACCTTGTGACTCTATTTCTTTTGCTACACACACTAATGTAAAACTGAGGGGATGCAGGGCTAATTTTGGAGCAGAATACAGGAAATTTGTTTGGATATACTAGAGCAGCATTTACCCACAATGCTCTAAAGAATTCAACAGCCATGCTGAGTTAATTTGCCTTTTTTTTTTCTTGCAGCCGTGATTGAAGTAATGAATATGAAGATTCAACAGCATCAACAGAGCCAACAGTCATCACAGAATGTTGGAACAACCAAGGCTTAATGAGCATAATTATGTTTAAGTCAATGTTCAGGAACTCATTATTGTTGGACAGTAAAATGCCTTTCATTAATATTAGGGTCACAATTGATATGCTACTGTAATAAAGTAAAAATATTTGTAGTGCGTCATGGTCAACAAATGTAACTGGCTTTGAATAATAAAATCACTGTGCAACCAATAAACATTTTGTTATTTGTTTATTTGTTGTCAAGCTAAATTTCTATAAACATTTCTAATCATGCACTTTTTTTATTTGAAGCTGCCTAATATTTTCAATACTCATATTTTGTATTGTGTATTAACAGAACAGTAACTGTTACAGGTTACACTTGAATGTTTTGTTAACACCGTCATGACGGACTTTAATAAATAATTAAATATTGCAAACATTGCAATACTTTAGTCTGACGTCTTTAGAGACGACTTCAATTGGTGTGGTGCTTTGTCTCAACAGAGGTGTAATATTTTGCCGTTTGTGTCTGTTTCCATTTCTATTATGGTCTAACGGCTCCTAGTTCAAATTTTAGTAGTTAATTTTGTCTGTCTATTTAATTTTTATTTGTATTATTAAAAGTATATTGTCTCGTCGGCGATGTGAGCTGTGAACAGCTCCATTAACGCCACACCTAGTTGCAGATAACAAGGGAGACGTTTCGTTGACCTTACGCACAAACACAGCGAGCGTTTGCCTCTTACGCAGTTTGCGCAGCTGTTGGCGGTGAGGCGGGGAGCAGCAGCAGCAGCAGCAGCGCAGCTTCTGTACGGAACAGAACGGTAACACAGAGAAAGAGGACGTAACTGTCACATGCGGACTGTACGGACCCTCGAAGCCAACCCGTAGGATGAAAAATTAAAGAATAACGGCGCCGTTTACTCTACAACTTGAAAATGATCTTGTGATTTTGTCCTAAAGTGCAGGATTTTTTTTTTAAGTTGAGATCTGCCGGTTTGCACCGTTGGACGAGAGCACGTTGGATTGAGCGATAGCTTCAGACGTACGTTACCAGCAGTTGCCGGGGAGACCAAAGTTAAACTGACGGACGACGGTCAACTTCCCTAAAAATAAAGATAAACCAACGAACATTTCCCACAAAACAACACCTTTAAAACATCGTAAAGTCTGTTGGAACGGAAGAGGACACAGGACCAGAGCAACATGGTGAGGTCGGGGCCTGGACAAACATGCGACAACCTGTTTGCGTCCTGATGTCCGTTTGTCTCGTAGCTTCACTGTGTAACGGCTTTCTTAACGTTCAACTCTTGAGTTTCCTTAAGCAAACCGCCCCACGTTAGTTGCAACTCATTAATTGTGTGGTTTTTATGTTATGAAGTCAAACAAGCGTCGCTGTCACCGTGTTTGGCACATAATTGAAGCCGGTTATTACTGGTCTGCCAGGTTCACTCGGGCTAATTCAGCTAAAGGCGAGTGTTTCTGGTGTCGCTCGTGTCCATATGGTAGATAGTCACGTCAAACAAACAAAGCTAACGTGGCCCCACGTCAGAGAACACGATGTACTTTTGGACAATTCTAACATGTTCCCGATAACAGCACATGTGTGTAATTAAACTTTATTTCGTTTAAACGGCCGCACGTGATCGGCGTTTAATGAAAGCTAACCGTTACCGCACGGATGCTAAACGGCTTTTCAAAGGTCACTGCAGTGACCAGACGGTCACAATAACTTTGAAAAAGACTCATAGTCGACGGTTGTTTAATCAATTAACAATAAATCACCTCATTATCTTCGCGTTGTCTCCTCTGTTTAAAACGTTAAGAAGGATTAGAGGCGAAGTCTTGTTCAGATTATAGAGCATGTTATAATTGGCACGGGCACGCCTGCGCCATGTGCTCTCTCTCTCATTCTTCCTGATACTCCAGGTTAAAGCGCTCCCGCGGCTCCACAGCCCAGGGCAGAACAGCACTCAGATTAGATTAGATGTGTTATATTCTGATAGTTTACCGCAGCCCACAGACTTGCGTGGCGGATTGCACGGTCGAATGAATGAAACACGCTTGAAATTCCGCAACGGCTGACAGGTTTAAAGTGTATTGTTGAAATCAAGCCGCAGCTCACGGGCGGACCAGCGCCATGTATGGACACATGTGACCGTCTGATGGGCGGAGCTAAGCTGAGGGGAGAAGCCAATGACATTTCACGGGGTTCACTGCGTGTGTTTTGTGTCTGTTGAGGCAAGTAGCTGTAAGGAAGACTAGTATCTGGCTCCAGTAAGGTATAACCCTGTTTTTCGTGGTATGTCAACGTTACTTTGGTGTTAGGTGAAAGGTATAGTATGCATGGGATTTCCGAACGACAAACACTGTCACTTTAATTGGATTAAATCGAGAGTTGTGACGTGATGTTGACTGACTGTGACTGTGTGATTATGAGTTAGAGATGAGGCTTTGTTTGTGCTGGCTGAGTGAGTACAAGTCAAAGGTGTGTTCTGACCAGAATAGTGGTCAGAGTGTGTGGAGTGTTCTTAACCAGGTAGAGGCTGGATTACTGGTGTGTGTGTGTTAACTAAACCCAGTTCCCTGTGTGAGTTGGGAAACTGTTCTGAGTATGGATTGGTCGGTTATTAGTTTATGATAACTCATTTGCTCGTTTGTCTATAACTTGATGGTGAATACGTCTTAGTCGCGTGTTTAACCTTGAGAGGCTGAGGCCACAGTGTGTGAACCAGAGGTCAGGTTGGCGACAGCTGTGTGTCATTAGCTGTTGCTACAGGCTACTTTTTCCTCCGAGGCATGTGTCCTTGTTTAACCTGACTTCTGTGGCTGTTGTTTAAGGCCAAGTCAAATATGGTTTCTGGGTTTGTTTATCATGTACTTCACATTAAAGGTTATTCGACAAAGTAGCTGCAAATAAGTGTTGTCACATGACGTGACTAGGATTTCCAACTTGTATTTAATAACGACACAACTAGAATGTGTTATTTGAAGTTCTGATCAACATAATCTATTTTAACCCTTATTATATATGTTTATATTATATATGTACGTTACAGAATGGTTAATGACATACAGCGTAGATCAACATAAACAATAATCTATTTTAACCCTTGTTATATATGTTTATATTATATATGTACATTACAGAATGGTTAATGACATACAGCGTGTTCTCTGTCACACAGGTGACCACAAAGGGAGCTGGTCTGAACCCCAACGCTAAAGTGTGGCAGGAGGGCCCTGCCCACCCC